ACAATGACAAAGTTGCTTCTGCCACCTTCATGGCGTATTTGGCCACCTTCCTCAAATACGTTCACTCCCCAATGACACACGATTGGGAAGTTTGAGAAATCCATATTCTAATAACAATATATGTCCAATTTTCATGAGTACACATTAATATACACAATTCATACACCCAAATTAATCATTTCATAGACATCACAACATATTACGCAAATATTATATGATATATATGCACTTAAAAATGAAAAAATATAACATTTTAAAAAATAATACATTCTAATTTTTGAGTTTTTTTTATCATTAATAAAGTTCAATTCATACTTCCAAATCTACATTACATAACAAAGTTAAAAAAAAAATTATATAACAATGAATTCAACATCAACATTCAACACTTCATACATATTCACATTACACAACAAATCAATTCACAAATGAATTCCTAATTTACAGAATCCAATTTTCTAAATTCTAAACCCTAAAATGAAAAATGAGATAAATTGAAGATATTTGTTTACCTAGAGTGTTGAAGAAGATGGAAGTGAAGTAGTATTGACAAGATATGGAGGTCGCGTCTGAGTTTCGCCGGACTTGGAACCTGTTTTCACCGCTCGTCGCTCGTCCTCGTTGCGCTGCATTTGGGAAGGGTGGTTTTGCTGTGTTCTGTCTGTGGCATAGCTTGACCCGGCATTTTAATTTAAGGGTAAGTCACCAAATGGTTGGACGACTTATAAGTCGCCAAACGGTTGGACGACTTATAAGTCACCAAACCGTATGATGACTTATAAGTCACCCAACCGTTTGACGACTTACCCCGACCATGGTTAAACCCAGCAGTAGTTCGTAAATACTTTTAACCCATCATTATTTTCATAATTAATTAATTATTTAGCATTAATTCGAAAAAAAAACTCAAAAAACAAATACTCCGTTCGTCCGTATATCAATCACTAGGACATGATAATCATTAGAATAGTTCTTTCCGGGGACGAGTCTCGTCTTGTGTCAAAATGAAGGCCAAGTCATGGTTCAAGCCTGGTCTATAGCTGGTAAAATCGTCGAATCGTCGATTTTTATTTATTTATTTATTTATTTATTTATTGTGTAAGGTCTCTGCCCTTGTTATCGAATGAGCGATATTATTCATGTCATAACTGATTGATACCATTTAAATTCACCGATTGGAGCAATCAAAACTTCGAGGCTAATTTGGTCCAATAATTTCTATAATAAGTTTGTCAAGTACAAAACTACAAAAGTAGCGAGTAATAATAAATATAAATACTCTACCACAATAGCATTCCATCCAAATAGCGAGCACAAGAGAATAAAAAAGAAACTCATCTGATATAAATAGAGATAATTACCCTAGGTATGACTAAAACTCAATAAGTTTCCCAATCTATGACCTAACTAGTTTTTTTCCCAAAATAATATTAATATTCATAATATTTAATTAAAATTTGTTTTTAATAAGTAATAAATATATTTTTTTAAGCACAAATATACCCTTTAGCTTATATCTATAAAACCCTAACTTCCTACCCATTTTCTTCAACCCTAGCAACAACCTCCCAACGCCCATCTGCACAGCCGTCCAACTCCCGCCCACCGTCTAGTGATCGCCGCCTGCCGTCGAGCCACCGCCGCCTGCCATCTAGCCATCACCCACCCTTTAGCGAATGACCATTATTCATGTAGATCGACGGCCTCATGGTCGTGAACTACGAACAGGATGCCATTGACAGCCAAAAGGTGGGGCTAGTGCGAGGAGACACCTGTCATCCCTCCCTCTGCCTCTACTTGATCCATAATCAACCAAACCACGACCGCCATGGGGACTCAGGAAGATGACGACTCGACAAGCTGCACCTTTGCCACCCTTGGAGATTGGAGAACCAATTGAGTCTGAGACTGAATTCCGAGTTCCAACTCGCCGCTTGCGTCTTGTGGAATTTGAGGGTTTGACCAACGAAGAGGACAACTGGACTGCAATAGCAATTATTGGGATTTGGAGGTCGAGTATCTTCCCTGGGATTCTTCAAATAATTAACAATACTTCTGATTTTGTGGGGGACTGACCAATCGATCTAGAACTTAAATGTAGCCCAACCGTTTGCTTCATTTTTCTTTTTGTATTTTTTGAGATTAGGGTTTTTTGAATTTAGGTTTTGTGAGCATTAAACATGGGCATTGAACATTGACAGTGAACATTTTTATAAGTGGACAATGAATATATATGGCAATAGACATGTTGTACATGGCAATAAATGAATGCATTAAGAAATTTTGTTGTGCAATGATTATGACCAGTATTGCAGTAACACAGAGCAGTAATATCATCATGAAATTCAATATACTTAATTAGACGTAAAATAATAAAATTATTAAATCGAAAAAATAAAAAATAAAAACTAAAATAAATTCCTCAAGTGAATGAGAAGAAATTAATTTTGGCGAAAACTCATTGATTATTACTGAATGTGCAGTAAGGTCGTGCATTAATGTAGTGCAATAACGACAATCAAAAGGGCAATAATTTTAATTGGACGAAATTAGTGCAAATGCACATAATTTAAATAAGGATATTTTCGTCAATCAACCTACTAATATAAACGAGATTTCTTTTTTTTTTTTTGGATTTTTGGTCATACAAAAGTCTAAAAACTAGTTAGGCCATAGATTGGTAAACTCATTGAGTTTTAGTCATATCCTAGGAAATTTCCCCCCTAAATGATGAATTGACTAAAAGTTTTCAAAGAATAAACTAGGGTTACCTATAAGAATTGAAGAAATATTAAAAAGTAAGAATCATTGTTCTAAAACTCGTTAGGCGCTAGTCAGGCGGTTGAGGGGTGCCTAGCGCCTGGACATCTTTGAAGGACTGACATGGATATTTCATTAGTGCACGGTACAACTCTGCGTCTTCAAACAATCCTCTTATGAATGCTTCAAAAGTGGTAGGGACGTTACAGCTCGAGATCAACATCTTCCTTTTTGTTGAATCTATGCAGATAGTCTCTATGGAATTCACCTCGTCACTGCGTAATTCTATAGATGTTGCTGGTTTGCCTCTCCAACACCCTGCTATTTGTGAGCTGTTGATTAAAAAGATTGACGAGTTCGGCAAATGAACTGATGCCCCATTTCGGAAGATTCACAAACCATGTCAAAGCATGATCGTCAATGTCGCGTTGAATCCATATCACATACATGCCTCTCTATTTAGGTCTCACAGAGACATCTATCATCCTTTGCTTGTACTGTGCGACATACACTCCAGGATCTAAGGTTCCGCCAAATGGTTCCATGCTTGGTAAGTCAAATTGTCAGGCACCTCTACATTGGTGATTGAAGCGTCGAAAGACGATTCGTCATAACATGCTTGAGACGCAACATCAAGTGGAGGAGGGACTTCAGGAATTCTGTTGATCTTCTCATACATTTATCATAGTTGTGGACTTGTGCGAGTATGACTACCATGGTATCCTCATTACTATTTGTTGGACGACTGACGGGTTTTGTCATAAGGTCATCCGTATGGTTCCATTCTGGTCTAGTCAGAGAAGGGATCATGATGACTTCATGATTCCGTCAATTATGAGTGGGAATGAGAAGAATGTAAGGTTCTCATAAGTACAAAATGACTTTGGATGTAGAAAGGTTTTGAGTGACGAGTTGTGTATTAAAAGGTCTATTCTGACACTAAGAGAAGTCGGAGAGTAACACTATGGAATAGTGTAAGCAAGTGTGGATACTGGACTCGAGATACCACCGGAGTTTCGGGTTTGTTGAATGAGGATAACCCTATGCTTAGTGAGATGGTGTCAGTGGTAATCGAAATTGGATCTGTTGTTAAAATGACGGAATTCAGGTGCAGCCTTATCACATCACGTGTTGTGTTGCCTCTCTTGGAATTCCTACAGCTAAAAGTTATGGAGGTTATGGACTGGCCTTTAAATTTTAGGAGATTTTTTTCTTCTTGAATGCAATCAATTTTCAACGTCATTTCCCGCTTCATCTCCATCACCGCCTTTATTTGCTTTTGGATCTCCACCATTATAGATGAACTATAATCTTCCATGGGTGATGATTTTCCTTACACGTTTCCTACACACGTGCCAAATTGTTTAAGCAATTTTACGTAAAAGATGAATTGGCTAAACAAATTCAAAGAATAAACTAGGATTACATACAATAATTGAAATAATTTTAAAAAGTAAGAATATATTGATGGCAATTGGGTATGTATCTATTTGTATTTCAGAATCATTGTGTTATCTCCTTTACATAAAAATCTTATGCTATTTCTCAGGGGGTGTTTGGATCTGATTCTCAAAACTGATTCCACTCCTTCAGGAAGCAAAAGCAGAAGCTGGAGTGTTTGGGTGAAATTCCAGAAGCACTTCTGGTGCTCTAATTTACTCTCAGAATCAGTTTTTTAGAAGTTGGGGGTACCAGCTTCTGAAAACTGATTCTGCTTCTACTTTAAAAAAGAAGCAGAAGCAGAATCAGTTCCAAACACCCCCTTAAAGTAGAATAATAGAGTTCCTTCTCTGTTTTAAAAAAAAATAGAGTTCCTTATGTCCTACTCGTTAATATCCCGACAGATTCAGAACCGCTGAACAAAAATAGGATCCAACTGAGCTACTAACATATATCTTCATAAATCAAACCTAGGATTTCTATTTATGATCATATCTTAAATGAGACTTGTCTATGACAATAGACATGGGCACATGGCTCAAGCTATTCCGATCATTTCCTCACGGTTATGACGGTTCCAGAAATTTCTCCATTGGACAATTCAGTCTATCCTCACCCTCTTGGCTTTTGATGGGTCATCATGGACGTTTCGTCTATTTTATGAAGGTTTCATCTAACCGTTTCACCCGACGATTCCGTCCATTACCCGACAATTTCAGGATCCTACCTATAAACCAGGCTATAACTTAGCTAGTTGATCATATCTCTCTCCCCTTACACTTACTCAGTCAAAAGGGTACAAAAACATACAAAGGGATAATTTGTTACATAATTAACTCATAATTATAACATTAAATGCAATATTAATTATTCAAATAATTGCTCCAACATATTCCCTCTGTTTCCAAAAGAAAGTTACGGTTTGACTTCACGATTATTAAGGAAATAAATTGACTTTACTGTAGAAAACACTGTTTAGACACTGTTCGGCACTGTTTGGACACTATTTGGCACTGTTTGACACTGTTTGGATGTAGATTTCTTTGCCAAATAAGGAAATAAGGGAAGTGTGACTTTGTTTTTGAAACATCTCAAAAAGGAAAGTGTGAGTTTCTTTTAGAAACGGAGGGAGTATATGAGAAACAAAAAGCCAACTGTAATTGACAAATTTAGCATGTCAGTTACTTGGTTGTAATGCCCGCTAGAGCCTGGTGACCGTTGGATCCATCCCACACACAATCGTGTGTTAGAGAGAAATGTGATGAAACAATTTTCAGGCCTGTATGGGAGGGACGCATAGTAAGACCACATTGACACACCTGGTTACACTATAATAAGACCAACATATCCAGCGCATAGGACTAAAATGCATGATACAACGTATGCTCCAGCCACAATAGCAGGTTCTCGCAAGCCACACATCATTTTGAGGTGGTGATGAAATGGCGCCATCTCAAACTGGGGGCATGGCTTTTGGCTTGACGTGGAGAAGTATACCTGTAACACAACGTATAGAGCGGCTTCCAAAATAAAGATCCCAGAAGCAATGAACAATGGCAAGAACTGTCCAGTAACAGCAGCCATAGATGCTAGGGCCCCACCTATGGCCAGAGCTCCTGTGCCACCCATGATTATTGATGCTCTGTATCGATTATGCATCAGAAACCCAACACAAGCGCCCCCAATTGATGCTCCAAACACAGCGAGATCTGATTGTAGCACAAGAGCTCATGTTCAGTAGTCACTCACTCATAGATAGAAAGAAACAATATTCACAGTAACATGTTCACACAGATGCTTTTCCTATTTTACAATTTACATGTTGTGCATGATAACATTCAACAATGAAATACTGAAATCATGTAGCTAAGGTGCCATTTGGTAATTTTTTTCTTTTTGTTATTATTTTTTCTTTTTCCAGAGCAGAAACAATAAAATGTGCTTGACGACTTCACTGTTTTTGTTTCATTCTCTCTGAAAACAAGAATCAGAATTTGGAAATTTTTGGGAACATAAATTTGATGTTCTCAGCGTTTTCAAAACATGTTTTCAAAACGAGTTGTCATAAAAATCACTTATATTTATAATAAATAATACTCCGTAAATGCATCAGTGTCGGTGTGAATGTGCATATCAGGCATCACCAAATTATTTTAGAAATTTGAAAAACAAAACAAACCAAATCTGAAAACAGAAAATCATAGTCAAACATACCCTAAGATATTAACGACCACTTTTGGGCAGCATATTGTTTTTCATCGACTCATATACTAACCAGGACAGATTGGAAGGACTACAAATGACATTCCAATAAATGCTAATGCAGCAGTTCCACCAGCCAATCCATCAAGACCATCTGTGAGATCAACTCCATTTACTATGGAAGTAAAGCAAAATGAAGTTAAAAGAGGATAGAACTTTCCTACGCAGACAAGACCAATGGGAGCAGGCAGAGGAATCACTGCTTTCCTGCACACCACATAGAGTCAATAAGGAAAAGCAAGGATTCAAATGTACAATTCACACAATGATAAATACTCATGACTTTAGTTTTACCCTATTTAAATTTATTTGCAAGACACTTCTAATGAAATGTTGCAGTAGACGAGTGACGGCCAACATTATAACTTAGTCACATCCTATGTAGTTAAATAGCTACTTAGTGACAACTCAATGAAGGGCTGAGTTACAAGTAGGACTGGAGATTACTCGGCCCAATATTAACTAAATTTAAAAATACAGATCCCCGAAGTTCTAGGAACATACTCCGTATTAATCTTATAATTCTTAGAAATGAATAGAACAATAATAATCCTAATAATGGAGTAGCAAAAATCATAAACATTTTGTTTCCAAAGAAATCAATCGGTCTGAAACTAATGTCCATTGGATTCAAGGTCGTCATTTTCTTCTTCATCTTCCATGTCCCTAAATAGATTTTCCCCAATATCTTTACTAGTTTGATTCCCAAGAGTTGATTTAATGTCAATTTTACAATTTTAAAATACGCACTCATTATTTATAAATTCCATAGTGTTTCACTTTAGTTTTAACTATTCAGATTTAAACGAAAAATGTACTCCCTTTGTTCCGTATTTAAGTTCCCGAGTTTCTTTTTTTGGATGTCCCTAATTAAATTTCACACTTCCAATAGTAATATTCCTATGTTTAAAGACATTAATATCCACCAATTCACATTAACATCTGAACCTATTTTAACAAACCTACCCCACATTTCCATTATTGGTATGCCCTTCCATCTTCTCTTATCTTTGTCCATCTATTCTGAATGGATCTTTGATTGCTTCTAGGGGATGACGGCACTAAAGTCGCGTGTGCCTCAAAATAAATTCAATACTAACACTAATACAGTAATACGTAGTATAGTGAAGTAACATTCGTATCCACAAGGAAAGGAATACTTTTCTTTTATGAAACTAGTAATTAAAGGGGGGTTTGAGGTTGATTTAATTTAATATAATAAACACTAAGATAAACGACTTATATGATTTTAATTACTGAGATAAAAAACTTAGCTTTGCTACTTTCCACTTGTTGATATGTTTGTTGATCCCGGTTATATCTATAACTTATTCGCTCTCGAATACTCAATCGAGGAATGATAGAGTATATGATTCCGGACCCCATGACCCACATACTCAGAAGACTAAGAGGATGCACAACTGTCACCCAGATGGTCCTCCGTCGGCCAGATGGTCCACCATCAGCCAATCTCATATCATCCCAGAATATGGTCCAGAAGCCCAAGAGCGCAACATGGTCCTCCTTCGACCTGGCGCTCCGTCAGCCATGGCACTTTGTCGGCCAAAGAGTCCGCCCAGAGCTAGTTTCCATACTTAGTCATATTTACATACTTATATCCACCCAGTAGAGGCCTCACATTGTAAATGGGCCTCCCAAGCCCAAGATTTGGGAGCCCAGCCCATATTTCCCCTACAAATACCCCCTTTGGGGCAGTTGTAATGGGTTGAGTAATACATTTATTGGACTCTCTCTCTAGCTCTCACTTCTCTCTAGAACTTATACTCTATCAAGGAGTATCTTCAATTCATCGAGGGTAGTTATTAATAACGACCGTTCATTAATAACCCTTACTATTAGCCAAATATAGAACACCATCATATACCGAGTTGATAGTAGCATTTAATCTCTCAACTCCTTGATGAAACCAATTGAGTTTGATAACCTCAACACAACAGTTTTGGTTTGACCAACAAAATTAATCCATCTTAAGATTATTAACCACGACCGTGCATTAATAACCCGAAGTTACTTAGTTGTGAAACCATCAATGATTAACAATCGATTCATTGGTCGTTTCTAGTAGTAATTAATGTCAAAATGTTAACTAATTGTCATTTAGCAACACTCTCCAACATTAATATAGAGATAGAATAAGGGAAGAATTAATATCCAAGGAAAGAAGTAAGAAAATAACTCACAACTTTAACATTCAACAAGCTTTAACAGCAAAACCACGAAATGAAAGTTTAGCTCCTCATTTCGAGACTAAACAATGCTAGAAAAATATAAAGAAAATACTATTCTAAATTGAGCTTAAAGGTACATGTGAATTGGTGATTAAATGAGAAAGAAAAGGGGTGTATTTATAGGTGTTTGGAGGTGGCAGGGTCAAATACCCGATCGGGTATTTGGAATACCCGATCAGGTATCCTTGGTGATTACTCAGAACTTTCATAAATCACATCATACCCCATCGGGTATATTGATTTACCCGATCGGGTAAAAGACAAATTTTGCCAAATCTTCGTCATGCACGCTTAATTGCCTCCCAAATTAGATTTGATACTAGGGTCAAGTCAATACCCGATCGGGTACATGCTTTACCTGACCGCTATTTGACTATTTTCTCAAATCTTCACTTTATCTTGTTCCCTTGCACTTTCCTTGACCTTCCAAGGATCCTTTTGATAATCTTTACCTAGTTTAAGCTCAGAAACATCTTAATCTAAACAAATCACAAACAACTAGGAAAACTAAAGTATTACGCCAAAAGTGTGTAATTTCCCAGACAACAACAAATAAAACTAGTTAAAATTACAAACATGAACAATAACATTTCTATATTATCAAACTCCCCCCTATTTAGTCCATTACTCGTCCTCGAGTAAAAGTCAACATAACAGTTCACAATCTACAGAACAGATAAATTCAAAGGAATAAAATGTTAAATTTGTTCATACATCCTCAAAATACAAAGAAAGAGGGTCTTCATGACCTTCAAGAACAAATGTTCTTTTCATTACTTGTATCCCAAAACGCTCACAAGTGAAATGAGTTCATGTATAAACAAATATAAAATTTCTTCTCATTCTCTCATTCTGCTTAGGAGCCTTTTCAGGTTTTCATCCTAGTCTCTCTTTTTATTTTCTGTTTTCTCCCAACTCACTCGTATTAGGCACTTTTGCTTAGATTGCTCAATTTTGGATTTTCAACCTAACAAGCATTTTTTCTTTTATTTATTTATTCAACAACATAAATAAAGATATTGGGGTCGGCTAACATGAATCGATACATGATATCACCACCAAAAGGAAAAGAAAGAAAATAAAGATAAAAAAGATAAGCTATTATAAAAAGATAATATAAAAAGAGATGAATATACATAAAAAAGATAAAATAAAAAGGATACAAATAATGCTTCTATATATAAGGATAAAAAACAAGCAAAAAAAGATGAGGGGAAAAGATAATACGAGATCACTCCTCCACACGATACCTGCCCTCCACTTAGCTCTCTCCAAAGTCATGCTTTCATCGAACCCCAGAAGAAGCATATCACTTCGAACTCCCCTAACCCACGTTTGTTGGGGTCTTCCTCTCCCTCTCTTCCCTGCCTCTTCTCCACACAACTCAACTTGTTTGACAGGTGCATCACTCGGTCTTCTACGCACATGACCAAACCACCTTAGGCGCGACTCCCGCATCTTGTCTTCAATAGGTGCTACTCCCACCCTTTGTCTGATTGTCTCATTCCTCACACGGTCCTTCCTAGTATGCCCACACATCCAACGCAGCATGCGCATCTCTGCCACACTCATCTTTTGAATGTGACATTGTTTCACCACTCAACACTTTACGCCATACAGTAATGCAGGCCTAATTGTTGTCCTATAAAATTTACCTAGTCGGCATACCTTGATCGCATAGAAATCCTGACACACTCTTCCACTTCATCCACCCTGTTCTGATTCTATGGGATATCTCCATCTAAGTCACCGTCCTTCTGAATTATGGAGTCCAAATAACGGAACATAATGCTGACTGGTATCTCCTTACCATCTAGAGTAATTCTGCTATTACCACTGCTTCTACCTCAACCAAACTTTCACTTCATGTACTCTGTCTTGCTCTGACTTAGTTTGAAACCCTTATTCTCCAATGTTTGTCGCCATACTTCCAACTTTGCTTTAAGACCTGACTGTGTCTCATCAATCAATACAATATCATCGACAAACATCATGCACCACGATATATCATCTTGAATTGACTTTGTAAGTTCATCCATGACTATGGCAAATAAGAAAGGGCTCAGAGCCGATCCTTGGTGCACTCCGATAGTAACAGGGAACTCTTCAGTCCTCCCTACACTAGTACGGACACTTGTAGTACAATCCTCGTACATATCCATGATGATGCTAATATACTTGCGTGATATGCATTTTCTAGTTAAGGCCCGCCAAAGAACTTCTTAAGATACCCTATCATATGCCTTTTCGAAGTCAATGAACACCAAATGCAGATCCTTATGAGCATCTCTATACTTCTCCATAAGTTGCCAAAGAAGGTGAATGATCTCAGTTGTTGAGCGACCAGGCATAAAACCGAATTGATTCTCTGAAATCTTCACAGTTCTTCGAAGTCTTTGCTCAATCACTCGCTCCCAAAGTTTCATGGTGTGACTCATAAGCTTAATCCCTCGATAGTTGGCACATTCTTGTACATCACCTTTATTCTTAAATAAGGGGATAAGAGTATTCTTCCTCCAACTCGTTGGCATCTTGTTGTTTATCCAAATCATGTTGAAGAAACTTGTTAACCACTCGACGCCTCTCTCTCCCAAACTTCTCCAAACCTCGATCGGTATGCCATCTGGACTCACTGCTTTCTTCCGCCGAGCCTAAGCTCAATCCTGACGAGCCCAAAGTCAATGCTGGAGCTTATTCCTGCCAAGCTTGAGCTCATTCCCGACGAGCCCGACGTCAATGCTGAAGACCATTCCTGCCGAGCCCGAGCTCATTCCTGATGAGCTCGAGCTCAATGCTGCCGAGCCCAAAGGTCATTCCTGCCGAGCCCGAGGTCACTCCCGACAAGTCCGAGCTCAATGTTGTCGAGCCCAAGCTCAATGCCGCCGAGCCAAAGGTCATTCCTGCCAAAGTCGAGCTCATGCCAGATGGTGTCGAGCTCATACCCAACGACCATGGGCC